TCGTAATGATTATAAACCCGAGTCAGCAGATATTCCTATCAAAGGCAGATTATCACGTGAGACTTTTATCGTGGTTTATCTGTGGATTTGTCACCTTGAAGCCCAGTTAGTTTTAATGCTAGTTTACCTGCTTAGTAAACAGCTGTGCGAGCCGGTTGGGCTGCTTTTAATTGCTCTTGCAGCCGCAGTCCATCGGAGATCTTACAGAAAGCTGCAGTAACAGTTTGAAGAAGGCGTGTTGGTGCGAAGCCTTTTTGAGCGTCACCACTTTATTCCAAGTCGCCCTTCACTTCGTTGCCTGGGGTGAAAAAGGGACAAGAGGGCTGATTTTAAGATCCGGGAGCAGGCGAGTTAGAAAATAGGCCATCCGCATCCTCGGCAACACTGCACTAAAAATAACAGGGCAACCACTTTCTGCATGCATCCGCTTTCACTGCCAAAGTCTAAATGAGCAGGAAACCATTCCTGAATCACTATTGTTGTTTGCGCCCAAACACCAAACAGTTAGCCTCTCCGATTTCCTTTGAGTCGTTGTGTTTTTCCTATTTGATCTGCCCTCTTCCTCCTTCCCCTCCTCGCCGTATTCTTCTGCTCTGCTTCCGCCTCTGTGGCTTTTAGCGTCGGTTCCAGAGAAGGGCCACCTGTTGGCTGGTGCGATTTTGATGTTTGTGTGTCCCCGTCCCCAGCGGGACGTCACAGTGCCACAAACCTGACTCAGTGAAGCGTTGAGCCTTAAAAAGCGCCCTCAACTATTTTCCTTCTCTTCTGTGTGGTTGCGACCCCGCTGCACGCCCCCGATGTGTGCAGAAATGTGAGGGTGAAGGCAGCTCTCGGTGGAGTGAAGTCTCTTAAGAGCACTGTGTGCAGTGGAGCTCTTCCTCCGTCTGTCTGCTTCACTCTGAGCGTGCACAGGCTCTGCTCTGAGCGTGCACTGGTTATTTCTTAAACTAATAATTTTGTTTGTTTCAGTTTGTTGTTGTTGTTGTTTTTTCCCCTTGAGTCATTCATCGTTGTAGCTGCGATGAATCTCACCTCCTACCTGCCACATATTTAATCTAAACCTTCAGAATCTGCCTGTGAAGGTTAACTTCACTGTGTCAAATTAAATCTTAATGTGAGATTAAGTCATTATTTTTAATAACGCTTATTTGTGGAGTCAGACATATTTACTGCTCATCACTTACTGGCGGCTCGTGTTGTGAGACGGAGAAGAAAGCCGGGCTGCTTTCGAGTCTTTTGCCAGATGCTAACACGCCTTCCCACCCACGGCTGGGCTATTGATAAGGGGTTAAGGTGTCTTTGCCGCCTATAGATCGCAGCCTTGGTGGGGATGTTGCGCGCTGCCCTGGATCGGGCCTCTTAGGGAGACAGATTAAAGCCTGCGTTACTCAGAGAAAACCCTGGAGCGTAATGAAATCAATGGCCGGGACATAACATTGCTGTTCCCCTCTCAAACTGCTCAGCACACAGTGTACACACAACACGCCACAAGAGCACGCTGGCACAGAAGGCCAGGCCTCCCAGATATTGATGTCTGTGTAGGAGCCTAACAGGCCATTCCTTGGATCGTGATTTCACTCTGGGCTGCTCTGGAAATCTTATTTGCCTCAGCAGACGCTCCCTGTTTGTCTGCCTCTCTCCAGTTTTCTCTCCCACTGTACTTTTGTTATTGATAGGCTGAATTATTTTGCACATTGATTGGATGAGGTAGCATGTGGCTTCTTTGTGTTTTTGTAGTTCGTCAAATTATTTGTACATTTTCTGCTTTGGGCTTAACAGATTTGACACGACTGTACCCGTGCAGCAGTGTGAGAATTTCATTGATATCGGTGCAGTTTAATTTGAGAATATTGTTCAATGAAGCTCTGAAACAGCGTGTCAGTAACAGTTCAGTGTTTGTTGGTCTAAGCAGCCAATCTCTTCTCTCTCACAGGGTGAGGATGGAGGGACCGGCCCATCAGATGGTAAGCAGCCTGTTCCATTTCCCAGCATCGTCCCAACACACCCAGTTGTACTGTTGCTCTCAGAAGACCAACATAGTAACTCCAGCGTTTTTCATTTTAGTGTTCAGATGGATTTTGGCGAGCCACCGCAGTGACTGAAACCTGTTAGCTACGTTTCCAATATGTCAATAGAAATTAATTTACCAAATAAGTAACATTCATTCTCAATTACTTCTAATTTAAATCTCATATAACAGATTTGTCACGCTGAAAGCATTTCACTAATTGAATTTTTGAAGAAGAAAATCTTGTTCGTGGATTGAGTCCATTCAGGGAACGAAACAGTCACAGCTCAGAGCAACGTTGCTCCTTCAGTGGATCCTCAAACAGCCGCCGTTACAGCAGTGTTTGTGTGCTCAGATCCTCAGCGGGCAGCGCCTCACAACCGCGTGACTTCCACCAGCCTGATCCACGAGACGGACCTGGTGGTGTCCATCAACGACCTGGACAACCTCTTCAACTCCGATGAGGATGAGCTGGCGGTCAGTAGAGATCTCGAGTGTGGTGTTGTGTGTCTTTCGTGCCAGAGCAGTGGTACCTCTGATATTTACAAGCCATTTGTGTGTGACTAATACAGGAATGAATTAATAGCTATATTTACTGACTCAAAAATACCGACTTAATCAGGTGTTTTATTCTTTTCGCCCCTCTCCCTCCTACAGCCAGGTTCCAGGCGACCGGTGAATGGAACGGATGGGATATTTGGCAACAAGGAACCCAAATCATCCATCTTGGATCCTGTACCCTGTATGTATCGCTCAGTCTCCCACCACTGATGTCTCTCTTGCCCCCCCCCTTAATGTGCCATGCCTCCCTAGGCTCCAAACACAGATGTAGAGTCAGATTGGTCGCACCTGTGAGGCCCCTGAAAATTAAGAATTATACACTGAGGTTTTGCCAGAAGCCACCTGAGACATAGACACAGTATCCCCCATGCTTAGTATTCAGCTGAGGTAAAAGGTTTCATATCCTTTAATCCACTAAATGAAGTTCATGTTTTACAGCTCAAACACAGTTGTTGCTCAGACTGGGTTTGGCCACCTAGTGGTGAAAAGTGGGACTGCTTAGAAAGCTGCTGCTGGAAGTTATTGGTTGTTAGTCTGAGGTTAGCCGAGATTTTCTAAGCAACAAAAACAAAATATGTTTGTGTTGCTTAGTGTTGGTTGGAGCACTGGGACACTAGAGCTTTTTAAAGATGCTGTATATATTTCACTGTGAGGAAAATTGGTCTCAGATCAACCGTTGTCTTTAGTTTTATGTACAGTCCAGGGCCGCGGCCTTTACTTTAAATTGTGTGCGGTCTCCCAGATGCATCTCGCAATAGCAAAAGTAGTTGTTGGATATTCCCTCAGCATACTGTGGCCATCTATTTATTTAACCTCTTCACCAGGATTCTGCTGCAGACTTATCTTTATGTAAATGCAAGAAATATAAAAAGGAGCTGCTGGTTTCACTGTCATCTACCTTTGCAACAGCTGACTTTCAACAGCCCAGCTGAATTCTGCATTGAATATCTATGCAAATGCAAACTTTTCCTCACATGAGGGTGATAGTCCTGTTAGAGGAATTAAAGGAATCAGACATTCATTGGTCTGATAGGCACATAGCTGCCTATAGCTGCCTGTAACACCACCATCGCTGTCATATTTGATTACAGAAGCATAAAACATGCATCAGCAGGCACATTGGCAGAACGCTTAGTAACACTTACAGCTAAAATTGAAACATTTTTGTGAAGCTATTTCCATAGTTACTGTCTTACTAAATGGTTTGTGAAGTGCAGTTTAAACATAGGATCCAGAACTATAATTACTTTTATCCCCAGTGTAAGCTGTGTGATAACAGCAGCAGTCTTGCAATAAACCTCCTGCATTTGTTCCTCTTCAGACACGTTATAGCCTCAGTCTGACCTTCATCGTTACCCTCTTCTTCTCTTCTAGGTTCAGATCATCTAATCCAGATGTTTCCCACGCCTCCCTCCCTGGAGCAGCACATCATGGGATACTCGCCTATGAACATGTGCAGCAAGGAGTACTGCACCATGGAGCCCAGCACGGGCATGACGACAGTGGAAGGCCCTTCAACTCTAGGAGGGCACTTCAAGATTGAGGTGGAGGAGAGCTTCTGTAGCCCTAAGCCATCTGAGATCAAGGTGGGTGTGAGCGGTTGGTGTGTCACTGTGTGCGACTCTGTCGGGAGGATTTACTGCCAGAAACTGTAGGTGTCAAAGCTGGTGATTATTGGTGGATTTGGTTTTTAAAACAGATTCAGAATCAAGGGCCAATACCGCGATGTAATCGGCTGGATACCAAGAGCAAGAGCAGCAGTCTTTTGTTGTGATGCACAGAATTTAGAATTTCTTGTCTGTCGTGCTTCAGAGGGCTCTTCTTGTAGGGTGATTTATGTCTAAACGTGCAAAAACATCTACTGGAAAATAATGAAAAATGATCTTTTTTAACAAAAAATGTTTTGTTTGTCCCAGTATCAAAGTAATCTGGTGATATTTGTTTGTACTTTGATGCAAATATTGCAAACAGGATCTGGCAGCACCCGTGTGTCCTGCCTGTGCATGCATCTGATTTCATTTTCTGCAGCACGTCACAGAACATGCAAACTGTCGATACAATAACTGTGCATCAGGTAATATCTGGATGTGAGAAGAAGCTGCTGCAGGATTTGTTTGGGATGCTTGTGATTCATCCTTGTGTTTGTGGCTCCCGCCCCCAAAGGAGCAGACACAGTGATGCCTTATTTTCTGTCCATTTTGCAGGACTATTCTTTTGTGTACAAGCCAGAGCTGTGTCAGCTATTTGTAGGGTGCTCCATGTTTGCCCCGCTGAAGACTCTGCCCAGTCAGTGTCTCCCACCTATCAAAGTACCAGAGGACTGCATCTACCGACCCAGCTGGACCATGGGCAGGGACATGCTCAACCCCGTGCCTGTGATGACCTACCTTAACAAGGACAGGTACGCTGCTCTGTTTCTGTGATGTTATCTGGATGTTTACCTTCAGGTGTGACTCTGTAGGTCTGTTTCTCTGTCTTCTGACAGTCAGGTGAACTAATTCAGATGTGTCAGCCTGTTTGAAAGAATTGTTCTGATTCAGGGTGTAGTTGAGTGTGGTGTGCGAGGAAGTGTGTACCCTGCTCTGTCTGTCCACACAGCCCCTGCTCTATCCCTGGACACCACCTTAGCAGTCAGCTCAATTTGCCATGCACGGCTGCCTCAGGCGGAGCAGGGATACGAGTGTAAAATGCCTTCTTGGTTGAAGGCGAGGATTATAACCGGAGTGGTGAGATGGGCCCCCACAGCGGCTCCATGCCACCTAGCTGCTCATAGCAGCGTGCCGGCTATAGTAGACCTGTCAGTGCTGCTGTTGGCTACACACATGCAGCGCTGCTGTTTTCCACACAAACGTGGAAACTTATTTCTGACCGTTTGGTTTTTCTGCCGTTCTTCGGTCGACCCTCACATCAGCTTTGTGTTTGCTGATTGCTGTCTACGCTCTGTTGCTCCTCTTTTTAATGATGCACTTCTTATTTCAGTATTACCCAGTGTTACTTTACATGCATATTGATAAACTGCATAACAAACCGTGTCATTTCCTATAAATAATAAAAACCCTTTAAAGCAAATGACCGGACTGGACCAAACGCTAGTTGTTAAAAATACGAGACACGCTGCTTTTTACTTACAGGAAGTGCTCTTTCTCAGCTTTTAATTGCTTTTTTTCACAAGAAGTCATTTTTTAAAGCAGAAACTAATTGCATCTGCGGGATTATACTTTTGCCTGATGATGCAGATCATTTCAGAACATTTCTCTCTCGAGGACACTGGAGCGTGACTGCAGATGTAGAGCATAACAAGCAAAGGAGGTGGTCAGTGTATATTTGAATAACTGTAACATTAGTAAGGTTCTGGTTTAAGTTATTGGCATGCTAAGTTGAGCCTGAGTGGGCAGACAGGTGTCTATAAGCACTTTGTATATTGTTGCTATGGCGCTGCCTTGCCATCTGCATCCCATGGCGACTGTGTCCTGGCTGGAGAGTGTTGTGCTGGGACTTCCTTCGAATGGGTCTGCGCCAGGAGCTGCTCCCCCGACATGCAGCTAGGGACATGATGTGCTCACCCACCCCCACACTCTCTCTCTGCTTCCTCACAGTTGCTTGCAAACCCAAAAATGTCCCTCACCTCAGAGGGATGCTTGTTGAAATGTTTATTGAATGTCTTCCCTTTTATACCCGTTTCTCATTCTCTCACTGCTGCATTCTCGTCCCCTCGTGTGTAAACATGTGTGCAGTCTGACCCCACTCTGCCCTCCTGCCTTATTACTCAAATTGTCTTTGTAAATTCAGCGAGACGGGTGGATGCAGTCTGCTGTTATCTCAAGCGGTGTACTGAATGTTACTGCACCCAAGAAGAACCGTGTTTTGCATACAACTGCGTGGTGTCTCCCGTATCTTTACACCGCAGTTACACCCTCTGTCGTACACGTGAGACGTGTCTAATTTGTTCTTTCATTTCTCAGTAACATCCCCAGTGTGGGCAGCACCATGGACCAAGAGTACACCCCTCAAACCCAGACGCCTTTCATGATCAACAGCGCTCCACCAAGTAACAGCGGTGGCACCGGCATCCTGCCCTCACCCGCCACCCCCCGCTTCTCCGCCCCTACCCCACGTACGCCTCGCACCCCCCGCACGCCACGCGGCCCCTCCAGCGTCCAGGGTTCAATCAAGTACGAGAATTCTGACCTCTGCTCCCCGGCGGCGTCGACCCCCTCCACCTGCCGACCGCTGAATTCGGTGGAGCCGGCCACGGTCCCCTCCATCCCCGAGGCCCACAGCCTCTACGTCACCCTCATCCTCTCCGAGACGGTCATGAACCTCTTCAAGGACTGCAACTTCGACAGCTGCTGCATCTGCGAGTGCAACATGAACATCAAAGGAGCGGACGCCGGCGTGTACCTGAGCGACCCGGTCAGCGAGGCCCAGAAACACTGCAGCTGCGGCTTCAGCGCCGTGGTCAACAGGCGCTACGGGAACGGCTCGGGCCTCTTCCTGGAGGACGAGCTGGACATCATCGGCCGCGGCACGGACGTCAGCAGAGAGGCGGAAAAGCGCTTCGAGGAGCTGCGGCTTTCCTCGCTGGAGAGAAACGGAGCCGGGAGGAGCGAGCAGATCTCGGACGAGCTGATTCTGCTCCTGCAGGATCAGTGCACAAACCCCTTTTCACCCATCTCAGTTCTGGAGCATGACGCAGTGACTCGGGGGCCGGGCGGGGCTCCTATACCCCCGTGTTTACGGGTAGAGGAGAGGGACTACCGCAGCGACTGCTACATGGCCATGGAGCACGGCAGGCAGTTCATGGACAACATGTCAGGAGGCAAGGTGGACGAGGCGCTGGTCAAGAGCACCTGTCTGCACAACTGGGCCAAACAAAACGGTGAGGACGCAAGAATCTGCTTTAAACACCATCTTTAAAGTCCAGGACGTCTAATCTGTGACGAAAAATATCTAATTAAACGTACTAAAAGTCTGACTTTGGAAGGACATGGACATGTTTTGTGTGTTTGTTTGTTCCCCCCATAATGTTGGTGTTGTGATTAATCTCTGTCCTGCAGCGGTGGACGTGAGTGCGCTGTGCTCTCAGGATGTGCTGCGGGTGCTGATGTCCCTGCAGCCCGTACTCCAGGATGCAATCCAGAAGAAAAGGACGGTGCGGTCATGGGGCGTTCAGGGTCCCCTCACCTGGCAGCAGTTCCACAAGATGGCTGGACGGGGCTCTTATGGTAAATCCCGTGTTAAACTCTGACACCT